GGTACCCAAGGAATGTGTATCGATACCATGGTAAGGGTATCGACACCAGTAAACATCGAATCTAATTTGGGTATCGATACATAGAGGGGGTATCGGTATCATAACATAGGGGTATCGATACCATGGTGAGGGTATCGATACCATGGTGAGCGTATCCATACCAGGCTATATCGAAGCTAATTTCGGCATTGATTCATTAAGGGGCATTGAAACCCTAATAGGGTAGTATCGATACCATAAGTAGGGGTATCGAAACCCAAGGGCCAGAAGTGTTAAGTTGGGGCTGATAATGTTATGGGAAGTTAATAATAAATATTTTGATTGATGTTAAGTTATAATTGTTAGGAAGCATACTAACAATTGATGTTATGCATGTCTTTAATGAATATGGTATAGATCGCAAACAATATATATATTGTGTGTGTGTGTGTGTGTGGTTATGCATAGATTTTTTATGGTTAAATAAGATTCTTTTAGAGAAGAGTTTATATGCCAAACTACCTGAATATAAAATTCTGGTTAACAGAGATGGCTTTCATCGGTCAGGTGGTTTCAGTATAAGGTATAAGAGTAGATTCTAAGAGAAACTCATGTGGTAGTGAATTAGAAATTCCTAAAGAATGATCATGAATTTCGAAATTCTTTGGAGTTTGTTGATTACTATTGAAGGTTAATGAAAAAATTTTAGATGTTAGCTTTTCTGCTAATCGAGTTTTTTTTAAAGGTGTGCCTTTTGTTGGAAGGATAATTGTGCTTATAAAAAAAGGAAGGTTGTGGCATATGTCTTGATAAAGTTAAAGAATAACCAGGAGAATTGCCCTATACATGATTTAGAGTCGACAGCAGTCGAGATTACCTTAAAGAATTTGATGCCATTATCTGTATGGTGAGTGGTGTTATAGTTGTACTAATTACAAAAGCCTAAAGTATTGATGGAATTAAAGAAAGTTGAACATGAAACAGAAAGGATGGAAAGAACCTTTAAAGGATTATGACATAATCATTAATTAATTTCCAAGAAAGCCCAATGTGTTAAAGAGGTACTTGGTCAGAAACCTTTTACAATTTTGCAACCTATGGATAGGCGAATAGTGTTTAATGGAAATGACATTATGGGCTGAATCAAAGAGGAAACCGTTGTTTTATTAGAATGGATAAAAAGTATGAAAAAAGGGAAACGAGTCACTGTGGGCTTTGTTACAAGGCTACCTTTAACACCTATCAAGAAGGATTCAATATGGGTAAATATTGATAGATTTACTAAAATAACTCTCTTTCTTTTGGGTACGAGCATAGTAGTCGATGGATAAATATGATTATATTTTATCAGTTAGCTATTGCCTCTCGAAATGGACAATACCTAGAATGTCTTCGTGTGAAGTGCTTATAAATTACAGATCAGGTCCATATTATGTTCTTTCACGGGAGAAAATAGAGTTTTAATTAGATTTGAACTATGAAAAAGAATCAATACGGATATGGACTTGAGAAATCATGAACTGTAGAATAAAACGATTCCTCTAGTTGAAGTGTAGTGGTAAAAGCATAAAGTCTTTAAATTTGATGAAAAAATTTCTTAAGGGGGAGAATTGTAATACCCCAAATAGAAAGATAATGAATTTCTTGCAAAGATGTAAATTTGGAGGATTAAATTGAATAAATGATAAAATATAGGAAATAATTTGAAATAGTGTTGACTAAATTGTATCAATAAATGAATAAAGAGGGTATTATGATCTTTTGGAGTCAAATGAATTTAAAACCCATTTAAATTAGGGGTTTAAGAGAATAGGGAAAAAGTGCAACAAGCTGGTTTCTTCTTATTCTTCCAGTGGGTATGCTTTCCTCAATAGCTCAAAAGGTAAACATCAATTTATCAATTTTTCCTTTCAATTATAAGATAGTTTTTAAACCTTAAGTGATAAGGAAGCTTAAGGATGGTTTAAATGGGATTAAAATTAAGTGATTAGTAAAATATTTGAGATTTAAAGAAATGGGTTTTAAAATGTTATGTTGCTATATGAGTGTTTATGGATGTTTGTTGGTAAAATTGACATGACAATGAGGTAAATGAAAGATTAGAAGCCAAGAATCAAATGATCTTGAGGAATATTAGATATTTTAAGTGGTTAAATGAAGGAAAGTTAGTAAGGTTAAGTAGAGAAGTGTTATATAGTATTGTTAGGGATAAAGGGGATGAAAATTGCCCAAAGTCGGGATAATATCTAATGGAAAACTGGAAAATATGGGTAGGGGTATCGGTACCCTATAATATAGTACCGATACCATAGACAAGAATTAGGCTAAATTATATCAGAGATATCGATACTGATTCAACCAGTATCGGTACCCAAGGAATGCGTATCGATACCATGGTAAGGGTATCGACACCAGTAAACATCGAATCTAATTTGGGTATCGATACATAGAGGGGGTATCGGTATCATAACATAGGGGTATCGATACCATGGTGAGGGTATTGATACCATGGTGAGGGTATCGATACCAGGCTATATCGAAGCTAATTTCGGTATTGATTCATGAAGGGGGCATTGATACCCTAATAGGGTAGTATCGATACCATAAGTAGGGGTATCGAAACCCAAGGGCTAGAAGTGTTAAGTTGGGGCTGATAATGTTATGGGAAGTTAATAATAAATATTTTGATTGATGTTAAGTTATAATTGTTAGGAAGCATACTAACAATTGATATTATGCATGTCTTTAATGAATATGGTATAGATCGCAAACAAGCTCCTTAGTCGAGTAAGTCGAAAGGCAAGGGCCAAGTCCCAAGTTCCATAATAATTATTTTCCCATTTTGGATATTTAAGCGAGGAAAACTAGGCACTAAGTGTGCATTTCATGGAATTCATCCTATGTAGATGAATAATCATTTCGGCACTAAGTGTGTAAAACACGGAATTCATAATATGTTTATGAATTATGTATGGGCACTGTGTGTGCATCATTGCCCTGAAAGGATGCCATAGCTGAAATGCATATGGGTGCATTATCAGTATAAAAGAAAAGTGCATATGGGTGCATTATTGGCATGAAAGGATGCCATAGTTGAAATGTATATGTATACATTGTCAACAGAAAAACATACTTTAGTTGAAATGTATATGGGTACATTATCAACATAAAAGTATGCTAGAGTTGAAATGCATATGGGTGTATTATCAACATAAAAGTATACTATGGTTGAAATGTATATGGGTATATTATTAACAGAAATGTATACTATGGTTGAAATGTATATGGGTACATTATCAACAGAAAAACATACTTTAGTTGAAATGTATATGGGTACATTATCAACATAAAAGTATGCTAGAGTTGAAATACATGTGGGAGTATTATCAATAGAAAAGTATACTATGGTTGAAATGTATATGAGTACATTATCAACAAAAAAGTATACTATGGTTGAAATGTATATGGGTACATTATCAACAGAAAAGTATACTCACTACAACAAAACAGAGTTTTAGCGGCGTTTTTAAGCACCGCTAAAAGTATTTACGGCGATAGGAAAAACGCCGCAAGAAGCGACGGCAATACCAGCGCCGCTAAAGTTAGCGGCGTTTGAGAACAAAAAACGCCGCAATAGGTCAATATCTATTACGGCATTTTTTGAACAAACGCCGCAAAAGGTCGATATCTATAGCGGTGTTTTTGGAATAAACGCCGCAAAAAGTTATGATATATAGCGGCGTTTCTAAAAGAATGCCGCAAAAAGTCAGATCTATAGTGGCGTTTTTGGATACAAACGCCGCAAAAGATAAGACCTATACTGGCATTTTTAGAACAAACGTCGTTATAGGTCTAACCTTTTGCGGCGTTTTTAGACACAAACGCCGCAAAAGGTTAGACCTATAACGTCGTTTTTGAACACAAACGCCGCAAAAAGTCAGACTTATAGCGGCGTTTTTGGATACAAACGCCGCTAATTACCTTTCTTTAGCTAATATTAATTGATTTTGCATATTTTATTTCTGCTATACATCACCTATATTTATATCTAGCTTTATCTAATTAACAACAACCATACATTTTAATTAAGACAAAAAACATAAAGAAAAATACTTAACATCAAAATAAATTAAAGTTTTTTTATGGAGAGAGAACCTTAAAAGACATTAAAGTACAAATGAGTTACAATTGAACCTCAAAGTATAAATATACATGGATTTGTTGTTCGATACATCCTCAATTTCACTAGCGTCATCATCATAACCTCCAGATATGCCTTCTAAAGCTACTTTGTTTCACACTTCATTGGAATTTGTCATATTCATCGTCTTGACATCTTATTTGAAAGTATCATTTGACAGTGAATGATCTCTCCTCAATAGATTAAAAACAAATGGGAAATGATGTGCCAGTCTATTAAAGAAGCCGCTTTTTGTTGAAGTTTGTTCTTCAAGATTACTGCAATTACAATAATTTAGATGAGACTAAGAAGAGAAGGAAACAACCAGCAGAACTTGCATTCATAACATATATGTGAGTCATTGAGAACTGAAAAAAGATGTTGCAAAAAACAACAAAAACAGGAAGTTAGGAACCATGAAAACTAAAATATATTCTACATAAGAATGTAAAAAATGTCATCATAAAGAAAAAATTTAATAATGTATTGGTTTCCATCTTACTTTTAGAAGTTAGAATTCTTACCCCAAGAATCTGAGCAAGTTTGTATTCTTAGAAAAGTTAAGGAAATACAAAAGAGGGATAAGCAATGAAATCTTATAATTTTGGATCAAGAAAGCATGCATGTCTAAGTCCCTCAAAGTTCATAGGGAAAACCCTAGTAGGTTCAATCATTTCAAGATTGCTTCATGTGTCTTTTGATCCTATTTATGATCAGTAAAATAAACAAATGAATCAAGGAACATATATTTCCAGTTATAACTTTGTACTATAAGAATTTTAGACGATAAAAAGAACTCAAAAAGTGAAGAAGATGGGTTTTAGACAAATATATTAATAGATTATCTACAGCTGTATCTGTTTCCTCTGCAGACAAATGCAAGCATGAATTTTGGCGGTACATGACCTGCAGTCCAAATAATCACATTCTTATCATCACAGAAGAAACTACATCACAATAATAAGATGAAAAATAGGAACACATGCATCAGCACTACGATTTTCATTGTATGCAATGGTGAGCAGTGATACATATCAAATCAATTTTAATAAAATGTATGCAGATTAACCAATCAAACAACCAATAAGTGAAAAAAATCTAGATTGAATTTGAATATCTCAAATGAATGTAATGAATATGAATATATGGTAGACTAAGACAATTTTGACGAGGATGTTAATACATAGGCTTCATTAACATGGTTGGGTTACCCCAATGCAGATGTCAGAATTTCTTTAGCAAACATGAATTTAAAAGGATTATTCCTAGGGTTTCCAATGAGAATCTACATCTCTTATTAGTATAATAAAGTTGAAGATCAGCGACAATTTAACAACAAAAGTATGCTATTATTCCATTGTTTACATAAAAGATAAACCACGGCTCAAACAATAATTCAGAAACAAAGTGCTATTATTTCACCTAGAAAATATGTTGTGTTGTTTGCTCCTGCATATCTAAAGTTAAACGGAACACCGCACAAAGGCGACTAACCCCGAATCAAACTATTCAATAATTCTACGAGAAGGACAGCATCGTGATTCAAAGAAATCCTAGGGTAATATATCGTGATTCAAAGCATCGTGATTAGCTTACCCTCATATATCGCCTTCGATCTTGGGTTGTAAGATCTCTGATACCAATCACCTTCTGAAGCTAAACCTTCCCTATTAGAAATGTCCTAGGTGATGGAAGTAATCGGGGTCAAAAGCAGATTTAGCATACACATGGATTATGAAAATGATAATCACTTGTCAATTTCACTCACAAGATATTGAAGGAATTTAAAATCTCCTGCAATAATTGCGGTCAAGAACCTAGAAACTTCCACCTGCACCAGAAGTCAGACTGGAGAAAGAGAGACATATACAGAGGGGAAGTTTTGCTAGAGGGGAATAGATTGGGGGTTGGATTCAGACCTCACCTCTTTGAGATGCATGCAGTCCCTTAAAATTAAAACCTCTAGTAGATTCCCACCACTTCCACTTCCCAAATTCCTGATTACAAGCAGAGAAAAATCTCATTCTGCACAAAATATAAGTTGAAAAAAAACATTTAAAGGGTTTCTCCTAGTTATGGTTGAAAAGAGCAGCACATACCTCAAAAATGTTCCAGTGATCGAGTAAGATGTCGAAAAATCAGCATATTTAAGTTTACGGAATCCCTGCAAGTAATATGAAGGACTAAACTTCTCAATTTACATTCAGGTCAAATTGATAACAGATATTTACAGACCACTGCTAATTACAAGTAAAATGAAGGACTAAACTTCTCAATTTTCATTCAGATCAAATTTAAAACAAATATTTAAGACAACTGCTCATTGAAACATAATCTAATAGTATCTCAACTCTTCCAGGCATACAACACCGCCTCAAACAGAACTTAAGATATTTATGCAACCCCATCTTTCCTAATACTTTCAGACCATTGAGATTATATGTCAACCAGAACTTAACACCAAACAAGTTCATACCTTAACAAGAATATGGACTTTATAATCATGCAGTCTAAAACCTCTCAGCGATAAAGAAGAAAGATTAGGACAATTGTTCATGACATCCACACAAGTTTGCGACTTCAAGCTGTCATCCCTCCCTGCATTATCATATGAGCAGATATGTAAAGAGCAGTTAAAAGAGACACTCAAGAAGAGAATCTGTACCTGTTTTGGAAGACTCAAAGAATAAACGCTCTATCAAGTGACAATTGGAGCTCACTGACATCAAATTTTGCCTCAACTCGACATGACTGCATCAATCGAAGGTTGATTGAACAATTTTAAGGTTAAACAAAAAACAGAATTGGCTACTCTGCTAAAACCACATTGTCTGAGTACCACAAACAACTGCAAACCAAATTGTGTTAAAACTAACAAAACTCGATGATCAGACAATAATTGCTTTTTTAATTAATATAGAATGTTTTATTCAGTATTCATTCATTCGGATATTTATTAATATTAGTATACTAATTTACGTTAGTGCACGTAGAAAACGGATCTTTTGTGAGCGTTGTTCTTTGATCAATCATTCCAAATTTTTTCATATTTAGAAACAACTTTTAAGTTATAAGCTTCTACCGCTTGTTATATCATCCAGCTGCAACAGCTTAACGCATGCTCAAACCAATAGAAAATAAAGGAAAGGGCAAATTGGTGGGGTCAATAAATGTAAAAACCAACTTAGATAGTGAAACTTACAGGCCGACAATTTCCAAATCAAGTAAAGAAGGGCAGGCTGCTAATGCCACACAAAGTGATGTATTGTCCATTCTTTCAATATTGTAAAGATGCAACCTCCACAAAAGAGCCCTTATAATATGAAAATAGCAAATGATAAGAACAAAAAGAACAACTTATCACATAAACCACATTCTAAACAAGGAGTCAATGTATTCAACCATACCCAGCGGTGCCATTGTCCCCACTTAATGGGTATAAGCAGGTCCTTGTAAGAATAGATGATTCCTTCCCTTGCTTGGTCTTTTTTTCATTCCATGAAAAGCTAGATACATATACAGAATTCTGGATCGTATAAAGCAATGGTTGACAGGAACCCGGAGAGGAAGTTGGGCCTGGTACTATTCCAAGCTTAAGCGATCTAAATAACTATTCAAAACATCGTAATTAACAAGAAAACATAACAACATAAACAACCACATGCAAATAAATGAACTAGCTGATACTAACCCATACTAATCCTTTTCTCTAATAGATAAAACATAAAGGAAACGGCAAAAACACCTTCTGAGTTACTAATTAATGAAGTTTTCCAAGACTTAAGAGATCGATAAGCGGTAATAAGACTTTTAAAATGCAAAAGGAAACTTAAGTATCGGCTTAAGATAATGTATTTATTAGTTATAAAGAAAGGCAAATTGTAATAGCGAAAAATGAAAGGAAATCTTACCGGAACGATTTCCCAGCTCGTTGGATCATGGTGGAGACAACGACATTATTAACCTTGGGAACGACAGTGGTAAGGTCAATATTCTCGTAGCACAATGGATCCATAGCACACTTGTTAAACATCCAACACGTTGCCGCGGCGTAGCAAAGACTCTGCGAATCTAACATAGAAAACACCTGCAATAAAATTAAAAAAAACGTCATCATCAAAACAATATTTAAAAACAAAATCAAAGGCCTTGATGAAAATATGGAAGAATGGAGGTATTTACCTTGATGGTCAGATCAGGAGGGAGGGCCCAGGCGATGGAGTTATGAAGGGAAGCACGTTTACGAGCGGAGCGATTAGCGGCATGGAGGAGGAGGGAACCAATACTGTGAGCGCGATCGATGAGAAGAGCCTGATCGGCGTCGGAAGGAGTGGAATCGAGGAGGCGGTCGAAGGAAAGGTCGAGGGAAATAGGAGGGGAGGAATCGGCGAGAGAGAGGAAAGAGAGGAGGAGATGGTCCATCTGAGTGAAGCGAGAAGGGAGGTTGGGGTTTTTAAAGGAGGATTGGCAACGCCACTATAGTACATGTTTATAACAGCGTTTGTATAAAAACGCCACTATAGTACATGTGTATAACGGCATTTGTATAAAAACGCCACTAAAGTACAATTCTATAGCGACGTTTGTATAAAACTGCCACTAAATTACGAGTCTTTAGCGGCGTTTGTATAAAAACGCCACTAAAGTACTACTCTTTTGCGGCGTTTGTTGAAAAAATGCCACTATCGATGAACCTATTGAGGCGTTTTTATAAAAACGCCGCTAAAGTTACCATTTTGTGGCGTTTGCTATGTAAACGCCGCTATATGTTTAAATTTAGTGGCGTTGACTCCTAAAACGCCGCTAAAAACGTCGCTGTATAACAATTTTGCTGTAGTGACTAGAGTTGAAATGCATATGGGTTCATTATCAACAGAAAAAATGTTATTCTTTAAAATGCTTAATGGTGCATAATAAACATGAATGGATGTTATTAATGAAATACTTATGTATATATAAGGTGAATTGTAGGAATTATAGTGGATAAGTAATCTGTGTAAATTATAGAAATTTTTTTGTATTAATGCACTGGCATTATAGGTACAATTTATAGAATGTATAATGATTGGAAGGGTTAATGGACTAAAGTAAAAGAATAATGGACTACCTGTGCATTTGACAGAAAAGTGTCCAATATGCAAGTTAGGTGAAAAGCTAAATACCTTTAGGTGAAGAATAAATGAATTATAATCTAATGTAATATGAATGATATATATAAGTGATATGAAGAAAATCTATAAATGTTTATATATATATAATGTACAATAATACATAACTTGTATGAAGGGAAGTTATAAAGGAGAATGTAAATTGAACATAATGGGTAGAAAAGGATACCTAAATGAAAGTAAAAAAAAAGGTGTATTAATAGTATGTAAAGTGCCACCATAATTATTATAAAAGATACACGATTAATTAGCACATTGGTGCAATACATGTATAGTACTTTCACATTTAATGTATACAGAGAAAATAAAAGAAAAAGCATACAGAAGGATAAGTATGATGGATATACTAGGAATAATTTCCATGATGGTATATAAGAATTATGGTTTAATTGAGAAGGTCTTCACTGGTTTTTTTTATGAATGATGAAATTAAACTATTCATTCAGTATTTGTAAGATATTGTCATATAATCATAATATCAATGTAGTATTATGTCTCACTAAGTAAATACTTAGCGTGTGTTTCTTTCCTACGTAGGGAAAAACAAAGATTAGTTGTGTAAGGAGTGTAGCAGTAGCAGCAACTTTCATTCATTAAAGGTTGACTCATCAATAACTTTATGACAATCTTATTCTTTTGGAGAATATAGTTGGCATGTAATCAAACTTTTGTGAATAATTTGTAATGTATTTAAGTGATAGTTTTAGTAGGTTGCTTTTACAAATATATTATAGTATAACTGATTAAATTGGAACATATTTTTACAGGTTTTCAAATGACATAAATTTTTATAAAGTGACGTGACCTCTATATCTTGTGTACGAAAAGGTATACGGGATATGGGTTTTATATTTATTGATATCAAAGACATAGGTTTAGCCGATTCTCGGCCTAAACTGAGTTCAATTGAAAAAAAAGATTACATGCCATTAAGATTGTTAAGGTTACTGGTATGGTGTCAATTAAAGTATAATAAACGCCACTCCTTACTAACTTGAGTGTTATTATTAGGTATGTTATAATAAAGTTTGGAAACTAAGGACAAAAGTAATAAGGTTGATAATATTGAAAAGAAGGTTGATAATATTGAAAAGAAGGTCGAGATTAAAATTGACATAAGAGAATCCGACATGACTTCAGTATCATGTCTTGGAATGGTAAAAGTTGTTAGGGATTTTCCTCCATTCTGTGAAAGGAATGCCCCAGCGTTTAACGACGTTTCTGCAAATGAGAAATAATTATGTGAAGCATTAAGTTGTTTAAAGTATGGTTAACTTGAGTAAGAGAAAATGAATAAGCTGTAAATGCATGGACCGCTAAAACCTTATAGAAATATGAGTTAGTAATGAATCAACAGATTATGAGCTTGTTTGAGAATAAATGTTAAGTTTTATGGACTTGATAGAGATTAATTCTCGGGAACTTGGAAAAGTGGAAAGTTTGTAATGATAGAAAAAAGAGTAAATGTGGTTACTAGTGTAATTTTAGAATTAACTGCTATGGGATTATTGCTACAAAGTTGCCAAGTCTTCTTATTTAATGATGTGGATAATTAGCCTTTTATAGTTGAGAAAGAATATATTTCAATTACTCGAGAATATTTTAAATGGATCTGGAAAGTTACATGGATTTTCTCAAGAAGGAAATGAAAGATTTTAAAATAAAAATATTCAATTTAATTTAATCTCGAGTGAGGTGATAGCGGTAAACCCAAGTGGTTCATGGTGCAAGTGAGGGTTAGACAGGTAGTAAACATTTATTAAAGACTCTCGGGGCTATTTTTCCGGTGGATCTGGTGAAAAGGCCATTTGATGATTTAAAATCATATTAAAAATAAGTTGTTTGTCTCCAAAGATAATCAATTCAAAAATATGCAAAGAGTATGGAAATTATAGTTTTAGTGAGAAAGTAAAATCATCACTCAAGGTAATATCGATAATGATTGTGAAGAAAATGATGTCAGGAAGATATATATATATATATATATATATATATATATATATATATATATATATATATATGACTTTTATGGTTAATGTGATAGATACTCAAATGATTAAAGAAAGAATTGTCTGATAATTTCCCAAAAGTTGGGAAATTATAGATATCTTTCAAATAGAATTATGGGGTTAACTCTAAATTGAGAGGTGAAGTTCAAAGTTGATAGTTATTAAAGTATCGAACATGTTTCTTTGATTTAGTATCCCATGACTTAATTGCGTTAAGAGAATTAGAGGCTCAATTATAATAAATAGTTTATTAACGTTTATCAGTATGAGTATTTCATTGCGATAAGTAATTGAGTTTTTAGCGAAATATATATATATATATATATTGTGTGTGTGTGTGTGTGTGTGTGGTTATGCCTAGATTTTTTATGGTTAAATAAGATTCTTTTAGAGAAGAGTTTATATGCCAAACTATCTGAATATAAAATTCTGGTTAACAGAGATGGCTTTCATCGGTTAGGTGGTTTTAGTATAAGGTATAAGAGTAGATTCCAAGAGAAACTCATGTGGTAGTGAATTAGAAATTCCTAAAGAATGATAATGAATTTCGAATTTCTTAGGAGTTTGTTGATTACTATTGAAGGTTAATGAAAAATTTTAGATGTTAGCTTTTCTGCTGATCGAGTTTTTTTTTAAAGGTGTGCCTTTTGTTGGAAGGATAATGTTGCTTATAAAAAAAGGAAGGTTGTGGCATATGTCTTGATAAAGTTAAAGAATAACCAGGAGAATTGCCCTATACATGATTTAGAGTCGACAGCAGTCGAGATTACCTCAAAGAATTTGATGCCATTATCTGTATGGTGAGTGGTGTTATAGTTGTACTAATTACAAAAGCCTAAAGTATTGATGGAATTAAAGAAAGTTGAACATGAAACAGAAAGGATGGAAAGAACCTTTAAAGGATTATGACATAATCATTAATTAATTTCCAAGAAAGCCCAATGTGTTAAAGAGGTACTTGGTCAGAAACCTTTTAGAATTTTGCAACCTATGGACAGGCGAATAGTGTTTAATGGAAATGACATTGTGGGCTGAATCAAAGAGGAAACCGTTGTTTTATTAGAATTGATAAAAAGTATGAAAAAAGGGAAACGAGTCACTGTGGGCTTTGTTACAAGGCTACCTTTAACACCTGTCAAGAAGGATTCAATATGGGTAAATATTGATAGATTTACTAAAATAACTCACTTTCTTTTGGGTACGAGCATAGTAGTCGATGGATAAATATGTTTATATTTTATCAGTAGCTATTGCCTCTCGAAATGGACAATACCTAGAATGTCTTCGTGTGATGTTCTTATAAATTACAGATCAGGTCCATATTATGTTCTTTCACGGGAGAAAATAGAGTTTTAATTAGATTTGAACTATGAAAAAGAATCAATACGGATATGGACTTGAGAAATCATGAACTGTAGAATAAAATGATTCCTCTAGTTGAAGTGTAGTGGTAAAAGCATAAAGTCTTTAAATTCGATGAAAAATTTTCTTAAGGGGGAGAATTGTAATACCCCAAATAGCAAGATAATGACTTTCTTGCAAAGATGTAAATTTGGAGGATTAAATTGAATAAATGATAAAATATAGGAAATAATTTGAAATAGTGTTGACTAAATTGTATCAATAAATGAATAAAGAGGGTATTATGGTCTTTTGGAGTCAAATGAATTTAAAACCCATTTAAATTAGGGGTTTAAGAGAATAGGGAAAAAATGCAACAAGCTGGTTTCTTCTTATTCTTCCCGTGGGTATGCTTTCCTCCATGGCTCAAAAGGTAAACATCAATTTATCAATTTTTCCTTTCAATTATGAGATAGTTTTTAAACCTTAAGTGATAAGGAAGCTTAAGGATGGTTTAAATGGGATTAAAATTAAGTGATTAGTAAAATATTTGAGATTTAAAGAAATGGGTTTTAAAATGTTATGTTGCTATATGAATGTTTATGGATGTTTGTTGGTAAAATTGACATGAGAATGAGGTAAATGAAAGATTAGAAGCCAAGAATCAAATGATCTTGAGGAATATTAGATATTTTATTTGGTTAAATGAAGGAAAGTTAGTAAGGTTAGATAGAGAAGTGTTATATAGTATTGTTAGGGGTAAAGGGGATGAAAATTGCTCGAAGTTGGGAAAATTTCGAATGGAAAACTGGAAAAAATGGGTAGGGGTATCGGTACCCTATAATATAGTACCGATACCATAGACAAGAATTACGCTAAATTATATAAGAGATATCGATACTGATTCAACCAGTATCGGTACCCAAGGAATGTGTATCGATACCATGGTAAGGGTATC